CGAGTCTTTCCGCCATCGCAAGGCTCAGAGGACACGTAACGGTTGGCAGTCCACAGATCATTTCCCTCGATGTCCTCAAGCCATTCCAGCCAATGTTGCTGCTTGGTGGTGGTGATTTCTTCTGCATATAGATTCTTGGTGGCCTTGAGTTCCTCGTGGCAGGCGTGTTGAGGGAGACCCCTCATTTGATGCGATAAGCGACTGAGTTCAGTCACGCGGTCCCGGAGGTTGGTGAGTCGGCGGGTCCACCACCGTTTAGAGTGCGGGCAAGGCTTGGAGAACGGGACGTGAGTATTGATGGTGTCGGTGATGGATTGTGTGAGGCGTGAGGCAGTGCGTTGGAACTCTTCCTTGGACGCCAGCGGTTGAGCTGGTGTGGTGGTGATGAGGCTCCGAAGGTGCCTGTCGAATGCCTCCCGGTTTACCTCCCACCAATTGTGTCTAGGTTCTAACTCGATGCAAGGAGCTTCTAGCTCCAGGATGGTGAGGATCGGTACGTGGTCAGTCTTGGGACCACGCATGGAAGGGTCTGTGTCGCATGAGATTATCGCATCAACGAGGTGCTCGGTGCTGAATACGTTATCAGGCCGGGTCCAGTTACCGGTACTGGTGGATTGGAGAGTTGGGATGCTGCGGGGGAGGAACTGTAGGAAGCCATAGTCAGCGATGATGTCTATTAGCAGGCGAGCAGCAGGGTAGTTAAAAAGATGACTGTTACGAGTTTCTTCCCACAGGGGGTGGTGTCGGTTGAAGTCTCCTAGGCAGAGTATGTGGTCGCTGTCGGCGGTCTTGATGGTGGCAAGGTTGGCATCTAAGAAGGTGTCAAGTGTAGTTAGCGTAGTCTGAGAGTTGCCTTCATTGTAAATATTAAATAGGGTGCAGCGTCCATAAGGACCAGAGAATTGGGTGATGATAACGTCCGAGGAGGGAAAAGGAATCTGCTTCCAAGAGTTGGTGTCTAACGATGTACTAATTAGCGTGATGGCGCTGAAGGTACAACAATTCAGATGGTGAGTCTGAACAATGTTGGGTCTTGCAGAACCTAGCTGCTATTCGACCCTAAAGGGTTTCTGGACCAGGCTCAAGGCTCAGAGGAGAGGAAATATCATAGAAAACTACTGAGCACTCAGACTCATACTGGTAACTGGTGAAAAGATTGATTGCTTATGTAAGCTACAAAAGTGCCAACATAAGGTAAGGTAAAAACAGTCTCTACAAGCCCAGCCAGAAATGAATCCCTACAGCGCGAGTTTTGCTTTGGGGTTGGGTATAGTGCAAGGTGGGGTAGAGAACATGCCAGTGGTGATTTGCACTGGTGTTGCGCAGGAAATTTATATAAGGTTCTTGTATGGCGAGGACGTCCCATTCAGCGATTTTGGGGTTATTGAGGAGGGAGGCTTGAGCTGCCGAGGATTTGTTGAGGTTTTGCTGCCAGATATGTATCATTGCGGGTTTGTCAGCAGGTCGTTCAGGCATTGGCAATGGTCAGAGATGGGGTGGAGCTGTCAGGAGTGTCGAAGGAAACAAAGGCAGATGAGGCGGTGGAGGGGGTGGAGGAGACTCGGGAGATAGGGTCGCCGAAATTCGCTGGTGGGAGGATCTCGTTGAGTATGGCTATCGATTGAGCATGGAAGTCGTATGGGGGCTCGGAGCTGGCGTTGTCATGTGAGGGAGAAGGATGAGTCCGAGGTGGAGGTGGCGTAGGGCGTTGGTGGAGAGAGAGGGTGGCCTGACGAAGATTGGCGTTTATAAGGCGTGTAGGGCGAGGTTGGGAAGATGAGGGGGGAGAGGGAGAAGGTCGGGCCTGTTTGGGTGGCTTGGGTGGTTGTATGGCGTGGGTCCAAGCCGATTCTGTAGGGTAGTAAGGCATCCTATTCTCCGGAAACTTCTCGTCCATCAGTTCACATCTTCTTGCGAATTCCGGGCACTTCCTGCTCCAGCTCGTGTGTGTGTTGTCGCTACAATTGACGCATCTGGTAGTACGGTAAGCGGTGCACTGGGTGGTACGATGGCCGCCACTACATGTGCCGCAGGTGTCCATCGACACCGAACATGCACGGGCAATATGACCGTAACGCTGGCATTTCACACAGCGGATCGGCTCCCTCTTGTCTTTGCGTACCCTGACACGTTCGTTGTTGATGCAGAGACCATCCTGCAGAATGTTGTTGGCAGTGGGTGCCTCGATAACTTGCAGAAGGGCGAAGGCTTTTCTCTGTTCTTGCATCCTACGAGTGGGAGGCTTGATCCAGCGAACGCTGGCTAGAGAGTTGGTGGGAAGGTCGTTCTCGTGTTCGACGTGTCGTAAGAATTCGTCGTTCTCAATCTGTAACTGTATAGGTAAGTATTCGAGGACCAAGGCGTAAGTGCGTTTGCGAAACGATACTGCAGTGTCAAATTTGCCCTTCTAACAGTGTTCTACCGACCGAGTCGCGTAGCCAGAACGCCAGCTCCTCATTCTCCAGTTCAACAATAACTCCCCCATTACGGAGGGCATGCACTGCTTTGACATCACCAGGTGGTGAGTCGTCAGAGCGGATGTTGGATAGTGCCTCTCGTAATTTCTTCGCGATATCAGTGTTGGAGGTGTTATGGGGGAAGAGATGTTCTTGCATGGTGTCTAGGGAAGGGGTTAGTGATTTCAACATATTCTGACACTCAGCTACAGAGATGTGAATCTCGTTCGCGGTCTCATCAATGCGGTCAGCTGCTATTTTCATGTCATCCTTCCTCTCATCCCGTTCATTCTTGAGTAGACGGTGCATACGTTCTGCGTCGGTTAAGGCAGAGGCAAGAGATTCACCGGTTTGGTGGTTAAGGTCCCTGATGTCCTGGGATATGGCAAGGAGTCCTTCCGTTTGAGGTTTGATGGCCACAATGACTTGTTCAACCACCTGCGAAGTTAGCGTGGCCGAGAGCCGAGTAGCCGCAGCTTCTGCAATTTCACATGCGGTGTTCTTCTTCAGAAGGAATGCAACTGCCCAAATTGCAGTGATGACCGGTAATGGGATGGTGCCTGACATTTGAGTGATGTGGAAGAGGATAGACGATAGGTGAATGAAGTCAAAAGGCTCGCCGGTCAGGCAGAGCAATTTGGTGGTTAAGTAGTTTTCTGCACTTCTGGTATCCATGACGGTGTTGGCCATTGCCTCAATGTCTGCCGTCAAAGCCGGTCTCCTTGTCATTTTGCGAGTGTTGGGGCCGATTCCTGGAGTTGGAGATGAAGGCTTGGGTAACCCGATTCCTGGTCCGGTGTTTGCTTTCTCTAGAGACATGTTAGTGATGATGTATAGAAAGGAACGTATCTAGATGATGTTTTTTGAGGTTTTTTAGTTGTTTTGTAGGAAAGGTATTTGAAATTGTGACCGCCGTTGGGCGGCGTTGGCACCGTTGGGTGCACTGAGCTCGAGGGGTCTCTGGGGTCTTTTTCGGGGTGCCACTTGGTACGTGACTAAGAAGCTCTTTGATTTATACTTTGGTGTGCTGACCCCTCAATGTCTCAAGCAAGTCTAAATTTTTGCCTTGTTCATTACCGAGCCTGGCCCTCATCGACCTGAGAATATAAAACTCAGTCATTGCAAACGGATGGGCGGTAACAAATGCATAATGCAGTTTCATAAATTATAACCTAGACATGGGAATAGGCTCGAATTATATAATGAAGGACTTGACCGTCAACCAACACCTCCCAATGCCGGTAAGAAGTACATCTCGCTCTGCATTGAGAATCGAGATGTACCCTTGACCATCGTGTTCTGATACTTTTAAGCTGTAGTTCCTCGGAGAGCTTGAATTAATACAACTTTTTCTTCCATACTGCGGGCTGAAGGGTAGACCGCTGGGATGTTGTGGACATACGCATGTGCTACATCGTGATTAGCCGACGAGAGATTTCTCTCGATGATCTGGACTCGGCTGTAAGCGTTCAGTAGCGGGAAGTGAAGAATCGGCCTAGGAAACAAAAGTACTCATGTAAGTACATGCTGATGACAGACCTGTCAGTCCTGGTCATCCACCCATCGGCTCTGAAACGCATTGTAGATGCTGGTATCGAAAGAAAAAAAACTCAGTAGATGAATCTAGGCAGGTGTAGATTCCTTGCTTCTTGCTCACGGTGCAATCCAACTGCCCACTCACCAAACTGTGTTCCAGCGCAGCAGCGCTTCCCCCTTTAATCTCTCCTCAATTACTCTCTCTCATTCTTTCATCTCGCACGCGCCCATCAATATCGCCCTCGACGTGAGATATATTCTGGACAGGAATTGAAATACGGCGAGCATTGATTCCATCCACTACGCTCGTCCTAACTTTTGAGCCATTCAAGTTTTTAAGGTGCCGTAGGTCCCTAGCTAAATCATCGAAATCGTTATGCTCTGTTAGGAAAGGAAGACCGAACCTTTTTATTTGGCCCTCTCTTGAAGTTCCTGTTCGTGTTTTCTGTCACACCTTGGTCTTTTGAAAGGCATTGGTTGATGCGCTCTATGACACGCATGTTCGACTTCAGCAGAATCGTTTGTGACAAAGAGCAGAAATCATGCGGCGTACGCTGCGAGTGACTAGTAACCAGGACTGGCCGACCGTTCAGGCATAGGGCAAATGCTTGATTGTAGAGAAACCACCCATGTTGGGAAGCTGAAGTATCAATGGGTCAAACGAGCTTCAAAAGACATGTCCTGGATCCGAGTCTCGTGGTGTTGATATTTTGTATGGCACGATCAAGACACATTCCCTTAGCTCAAGATGTGCGCTCTCGGAGCACGTAGGCCTTGGCCCTCCCATCGAGGTAACAGGCGGCCAGATGTGGAGTTATTCATTCGGCCCCGAACAGTTTGAATCATTGAGCTTCAAAAATTGTTATTCTCGTAGAACGACGGTTGGTGAGAGAAGGACCTGCCAATGAATGAAGGCCCGGGGTTTACTCAAGGAAGACTGACACCAGTATTGCGTTATTGGCAAAGACATAATTTCGATCTTATGACACAGTTTGAATCCAATAGAACATGAAAATCGACGTCCCTGAAGTATGCTGGAGGACGCCGCCTCGCATCACTGTTCCAATCAATTCCGAAATTCACCCGTTCAATATCTTTGCTGTGACGATCCTCTCAATTGCAGTAGGGTATGCAGGCGAAGTAGAGCGTACGTTCGCTGATTTCGGCACAATGAGGTCTGCACAACAGTGTAATCTCTTAGTTGACACATTTGAAACACTCAATAAAATTTGTGCGAACCTTCGACAACACAGCGCTGCAAAAGCTGTGGAGGCTGAGAAGTCCACTGCTGTCGACATGCTCACATGCACACTCACGAAGACGTTGACATTGCTGTTGAGACTGTGAATAGTTTTGGAGTATCCTTTACATGGACACCTCCGCTTTCGATCGAGCCTCGTGATGCAGATAACCTTCTTGCTGGCCCAGAGAGTATCTTGCCTGATGACGTTGCGGCTGAAGTTGCGGCTCTCGAAGAGTTGAAGAGAATTGAAGGAGTTCAGAGCATTGATGAAGTTGAAGTGCTCGAGGAAAAGACTTTGGATTTCGACGAGTTTGATTAGACCGAACAAGCAATAATACTATTACAGGCTATTCTAGTTGAGGTTTTGCAATTGCGAGGATGATGACGAGGCAACACTTGATGTTATGGTTGGGAATGGAACTGTGACACACCCCCACCCTGGGAAAACAACTAGTTCTACCCCCTACTACGGGTACGCCCAGTGAACCTAATCGAACAAAAACAAACATCTGAACAGAGTGAGATTCGAACTCACGCCCCCGAAGAGACCAGATGACACGCTCATCAAATGAGCTGGTTCTCTCCTTAGTCTGGCGCCTTGGACCGCTCGGCCATCTGTCCTGGGCTCGAACGTTCCTTCCGTGAACCTTTCGCTCCGATAATAATTAAAGTCACGACTTGCGATGCCTGTAATGACGAGCGAGTAGAAGCATGCATGCTTCGAGGACCGGACACGGATGAATGCCTTGGTGAACGCACTGACAGACGCGTATTGGGCCTATAATTCTATCGTTGAGTCAATTGACAGTATCGTGGTACTTATAACTAATGATCAACATATCGAGACTCGAGAACATATACCCATAAGGCAGACGCCGTGACAATGGGCAGAAAAAGGTTTATAACGAAAGTCATGCTAAAGGTACAGTAGAGTCAGAGGTTCTTGTATGTGGTCACTGGGAGGATCAATTCTAACAACTTCCTTGGTCATCTCCTTCTTCCACTTTGCAGTTGCTGGTAGATGGATAGATGCATGTTTATTCGAGGATAGCAGGAACGCGCTAATTGGGGGTTTCCGCAACCTGTCCGAGTCGATGACCCCTTCCTCACCGTCTACGGAATAGTCCAGCACACCTACTGCCCAGGTCACATCGTGAGGCTTTGGGCCAATGTGCGTCGCCTTCACCTTAAAGTAATCATGCTTGAACGTAAAACATCTCGAGTCAGGTGAATCTTCACTGACGTCCTCTACCTCGACGCCCAGTAGGAGCACCCAGATTTCGAGTCCGTGATTGGTCAAGGCAAAGCGCCTATCTCCAAACTCGTAGCTTGCGGCCTGGTGAACTGCGTTGCGAAGTGTTTGGATACATCCTCCAGCATAGGAATGCGGAGCATCCGGAAGGGCTGCGTTATAGCGGGAACGACGACCGCTCCATAGAAACAAGTCCCATTTGTCGTATCTCTTTACTATCTCCTCCATGAGACGGAAGAAGGCTCTGTTGCCTTCGCCGTATGTGATCATGAGGCTGATATCGAATATTCCGATAAGGCAGTATGCGATGTCTTCCATGCGAGTCGTTCGCCTCCTGGATGCCCACAACATCTTTTCTGGCACCCGGTCTATGCCAGGTGTGAATGATTCAAGATCATTCATATGGATGTCCGTGAGCGTTGATATCTTTTCCATGATGACTTTGCTGCCTCTGTCGTTCGCAGAGCCTTGGATGAGGGGCTGCCAGTTTTCTCCATAGAATTTGATTTGCGACGGAGCAAGGAGCTCTTGAAGCGTCCATCCTCTTTCGAACCAAGCATCGACTGCCTTTTCACCACTTTGACCCTTCTCCTGCAATTGAAGAGCCGCGAGGTCTGCTGTTTCCGAAAGGAGGGCGATGCATACATGGGAATTTCTGTACCAGCGAAACATGGAGCGTATGGATTCATCCAACTCTGAGCTGCTTGTTTTGTCTATGCAGCACGTATCGGACCAGGCGAATTCGCAGTCGTGGACATCCTTCGCTGTACGACAAAAATTCTGAACCTTTTCACATCCTGGCCCGTGGTCATCAAGGACTTCCTTCGGTTCCTTCGACATCTGGTGATACAGAGGCTCTTGCTTGCCCAGTAACCATCTATGCGAGAGGATAGCATATTTCAGTTCCTTCTTCACACGCTCTCTGATACGATCCTCCCTCTCCTCCCCGTCCACGACCATATTTTCAGCAAAATCGGCATGAATGTTGTCGGGAACCTTTTTCTCTTTAAAATGCTCCTTGACGAAATCCCTGTCCACGAGTTGAAGCATTATCTTCTGATCGTTCTTGGTGATGTGAAGTAGACGAATGGGCATCTCATTGGTGATATATTCATTGAATACCTCTTCCACGAGATCTTTGAGAAGGTCGTGGCTATCTGTCGCAGCAACAGAGGCGCTCGTGGTACGAACGTCGCCCAGCGAGTCAAAAGTCATCTAGGAAAGTTAGAAGGCGGCGACTTCCACATGGATGGTGTGAAACTCACGATTGATGACTGTGAGATTCGTTAAACGGTCGGAAGGGATTCAAGAAATTCTCGTCTTCAAAGGTTTGTGAAGCCTACGTTGAACGAACAGACACGAAGTCCTGTGGGTTTATATTCAGTCCATCATCACGTACGTTACCCTTCTTCTCCTACGCCATTGATACAGCAATGTATTGCCTTCGTGAAACCTGGAAAAAAAAGTACGGCTCCCTGCACCGCATACGAGATATCGGAACATGCTGATAGCTTCCGGAACCAAAGTTGACAGTGTGGAACATTCGTCTTCTGGAACTGGAACAATGAACACATTACCTGCACGTGGAGGTAAGCGCCTAGCGCCTCTGGCTGTGTTAGTTCAGAAAGATGCGTGCAGATCCGCTGAATGCGCATTCTATACAGCATCCATTATCAAGGGAAAGGTAAGCCACCTCCCTTCTATTTGCTGTAAGCCGTTATTCCTGAAGTCAATGCAACTCACAGATACGAAGGCAGACAACCGAGATGTTATCAACGTATGGTTGTGAACGTTGAGTCGTGAATGTCTACGGGAGCTTGTGTTCGACGACATCTTTCCTCGTCTTAGGACGCAGTCACTGCATGCTGTCGCAGGAATCAAAAAAGTGAGACTGATTGATATGCCTAGAAGCAAAGAAAATATCATATTTCACAATATGTCCCCTCCTATCACCTCGGCGCTGAATGCGAACGATTGATGTCAGTATTACAGTCTGGGGAAAGCACATTCATCTCCTACTCTTCTGCTCATCGTCTCTCTTCCCTTTATTTTCTCATTTTTTACAAGCTGGTGCATTAAAACCAGCCTCTGCCAAGCCCATGGCTTGATGTGTGTTCTGTATGCGACATGGAACAGCATAGTAAGACGCTGTGTGAGTCACAGTGTGACTTGTGTCCATTACGTCATTCTAACTCCCGAGTAATTGCAAATTCAAGTAAGACTGTACCATGGAGCTGTTACTAACGTCGTTCAAATTATCATGAAGATCAACCTTTGTATATCCTCGTGCTTCGACATCATGCGGGTACTGGATGATGCACTCTGTAACGCACATTTTCTTCTTCAAGGATAGTCGCTGGGTATTCGGTGAGTCGGTGACAAGTTGCCCACTCACAATGGCACCGTAGCGTGCAGCACCCACTGCACGAACACTTATATATGTAGAAACCATCTGTGTCGGGAATCTGAAGTTTGATTCAGCTGAATGAGCCACCGCATGGTATCGAGGTTTCCACGGCACCCTGCTTTTCTTAGCGTCACTAAAATTAGGCCACTAGATTTGTGTCCTTGTACACGATAAGTGCCTGGTTGTCACTCAGCCTCAGCGCTTCAGCTGTATTCCTACGACTGTTTAACCTCAGGTAATTCTTGCACCTATATCACTCTACGGTGAGTGTCAAGGTTTCATCTTTTCATTGCCATCTCATGATCACGACCGTTTGGACAGACTTACTACGCAGGACATCATTTCACGACATCTGCATCAGTACACGCCTTAAAAGGTCCAAGTCACAACTTCCCCTTCTATCCTTGAATCAGCGTTGGACATGTCCCAAGGAGCTTGGGAGAAGTTGGCTCAGGTCGCTGTCGAGGGCGCTGAACATGACTCTCGTGAACGCTTGCCCCATCCCCAATGTTTGGAAGGGACTCGAGTGGTCCTCCTCGACCACATCTACAGAACATTGGATGACAAATCAAAGAATCGACTCATTTGGCTCCATGGCACAGCGGGCGTTGGAAAGTCTGCTGTTGCATTTACTGTAGCCGAAAGGATGAGAGCTCTGAAAGTGACAGAGGGGACGATTATCGAGAAGCGGCTCGCAGGAACATTCTTTTTCTCCCGCAAGCACACGAATCGACGCACAACTGCTCGTTTCTTTGCGACGCTTGCCTATCAGCTGGCCAGTAATTTCCCCAGCGTTAGGACCCACGTGAATAAAGCGATCCTCGAGAACCCTGCTCTTCTACACCCCGACGGGTCTCTTCGCAAACAAATGGAGGCGTTGTTTTCCCGACCTTTGCGGCAGCTCAAATACAGCCTGCGCGATTGTCCGCCTTTGGTGTTCGTTATTGATGCCCTTGATGAATGTGCGGAACCCCTCGACCAATCCACGATTGAACCCTCCGATGAAAACAAATCCGAAGTTGAGCTTGCTGAACTCATCTCCTTGCTTGCCCAAGCTCTTCGAGATCCTGATCTGCCTGTGATCCACATTCTAGTCACAAGCCGCTCGGAAGAGTATATCCATGAAGCCATGCAGCAAGAAGATGTGAGCCCGCTGGTGTGTGAGATACCGGTGAAGATTTCTGGACAGGGCGTTGCTGCCACTATCTCGCTAGACGGTGCAGATGTCGATGAAGACATCTATCTTTTCTTGCAGCATTCCTTCAGAAAACTGCAAAGTCGTATCCCTACTTTCCCGCAGCCAACCAAGGTTCAACTCGAGCGGCTAGCGAACCGAGCGGGGAGACGTTTCATCGTGGCATCTACGATGATGATGTTTATTGATGATCGATACAATGATCCCTACAACCGTCTCGAGCTCATGCTCAAACTAGCGAGTGACCTACTTCCAGGAACGGAGGTGTACAAGTTATACGACCGTATTCTTTCCACATGCGCTGACCCAGCGCAGGCATACCTCCACCTGTCTGTTGTTGCTGCCCTTGCAGATCCCCTCCCCATGTCACAAATCTCGAAACTTCTTGGCCCTGGTCAGGGCAGGGACGTTGAAAGAGTACTGGTGCAACTACGGTCAGTTATAGATGTTCCCACCGACAACAGTCTTCCTGTGAACATCTATCACTCATCCGTTCGTGACTATGTTTCCCAGCGCTCTAACTGCAGCCTCCCTCACGTGAAAAATATCACGTCACCGCACTCCCTATTCGCACTTTCCTCTCTCCACTTGCTGGTGCGCGAGATTCCGGAGAGCACAACCCTCCTCGACGAGCTCTCAAAATTGCAGAAGCAGAATAAAGCTATGGAATCCCACGACCCTCGGAATTTGAATGACTCGTTATCCTTTATGATCCAGCCACCGGAGCCACTGCAAGTTCTTACGGCTTTACTATGGCTTCGGAGAGATGACAGGTCAAAGTTACAAAACTGGCTAGCGACCCTGGATGGGAATGCCTGGTTGCAAACTCGAGAAGGGAAGTCCTGGATGTTCACTGAGAGAGGGGAAACGAACTGGTTGCTCACCCAGGGGGGCAAGGACTGGCTACAGACCCACTTGGGGAAGGATTGGCTGCAGACCCTCATCGGGCAAGACTGGTTGTGGACGGACGGTGGGCAACTGTGGCTACAGACCGAAGGAGGTCAAGGCTGGTTGCAGACTGAGGACGGGCGAGTGTGGCTATGCAAAGAGGGAGGTCAAAGCTGGTTGCAGACTAAGGGTGGGCGATCGTGGCTACAGATCAAAGGAGGTCAAAGCTGGTTGCAGACTGAGGACGGGCGAGTGTGGCTATGCAAAGAGGGAGATCAAGGCTGGTTGCAAACTGGTGGGCGAGCGTGGCTACAGACCGAAGGAGGTCAAAGCTGGTTGCAGACTAAGGACGGGCGAGTGTGGCTATTGGAAGAAGGAAGTCAAAGCTGGTTGTGGACAGAGGGTGGGCGAGTGTGGCTAGACACTCCGGGAGGTGAAGGCTGGTTGCGGACTGAGGGTGGACGAGCGTGGCTACAGACCAAAGGAGGCCAAAGCTGGTTGCAGACTCAGGATAGGCAGGTGTGGCTAAAGACTCAGGGGGGTCAAGGATGGTCGCAGACTGAGGGCAGGACCTGTTTTGGACTAATCGGCAAGACTGGCAGTGGCCGTCGCGATACTCGCCCACACCCCCACAGCCATCCTTGCTCCCATCTCTCAGTAGCACAGACCTTGTGCAGACATGGGATGAATCGTGGCTGCAGATTCATGGCGTGAAAAAATTGCGGACATCAGACGAACAAGACTGGCTGCAGACCCAGACCGGGCTCCACTGGCTACAGACTCAGGCTGGATGCCACTGGCTACAGACTCAGGCCGGGCGAGGTTGGCTGCAAACTCATTCTGCACGAAAATGCCTGCAGACCTTGGGCGGGCGAGAGTGGCCGCAGACTAGGAGTGGGGGATCCTGGTTGTTGACCCCACACGGGAGACGCTGGTTGCAGACTCCGAGCGGTGAAGACTGGCTGCAGACCCACGGTGGACAAGACTGGCTGCAGACCCAGTGCGGACAAGACTGGCTGCAGATCCTGGGTGGCGAAGACTGGCTGCAGACAGAGGGTGGACGAGACTGGCTGCAGATAGAGGGTGGGCGAAAATGGTTACAGGCAGATGGCGGGCGAAAGTGGCTGCAGACAGAAGGTGGGCAAGATTGGCTGCAAAGCCAGGGAGGGCGAGACTGGCTGCAAACGCCACATGGTCAAGCATGGCAGCTGAACACAATCTGGGTGACCGTGGAAGAATTCTCGAGAACTTTGGAGGCACTCAGAGAGTACATAATTGCCCCAGACATGCGCTTGCACCCGGCCTTTCAAGTTGTCCGGCAGTTTAAGAGCTTGCCGGATTTCTTGATGTTTCCGGCATTCCTAGCATTGAGGCATCAGGACCATTTCCCTCGAGTATCATCTCATGGTCATCTTCCACCAGGCATAGAGATCCTTGATGCCATGAAGGTTTTTTCGAGTTTCGCTTATGTAGCGCGGGAAGAAAGTCAATCCGCTCCCGACTTTCTCAATTATGCATGTCAAAACTGGGCTGTTCATCTTTCACGAGCTCCGAATCCATGGGACGAGAGCCTCTCCCATATATTCCAGTCTTTTTGGGATCGTTATCTCCTCCCCTGGCTCACGAGGCAATGGTGTTCGAAGGGTCTACGGTCTTGCCTCACTATCTTATCAGAAGGCGAGAAAATTGCAAGGGTGCGTGTGTTCCGAGTCTTCTGACGGCTGCTTAGACTCACAACCTGGCTCGCGTATCCAGCACCATCACTTCCAAATCTCAGGATCATCTCAACAACCAGCTTGAAGTTATCAGGTTTTTACTAAAGTGTGTACGGTGCTATATGCTCAGTTTATTCAGTACTTATGCAACAGTACGCGAGCCTACAGAGTATTAGCACTGATGCACGAGAATTCTTCGACACTTGTACTAGTACTTGCTTGAAAATATATCTACTTATCCGAAAATCGGCACATTGTAATTCGATTTTCGACCGAGTCCCATGATACCATCGATGAGTTTCCACACTGGCAAATGACCATTCTTGCTCCATGGAATTTCCGGCAGCGAGACCTTGTGCTTCTTAGATCTGCCAGCCATATACAGGCTTGGACGTTGAGCTACAGTATCGCGATTGCACGGATTCATGGCCATTCATCATAGGGACACTTACAACTAGGTACATCAGCCAACGACTATTTTCTTTTCCTCCCTCTCTGGACCCTCCGAGTCTATTGTCGCAAATTTCCTAAGTCGGTTGTAATCAGGTACCGTTTACATCGTGTTACAATGACGATTACAAACCATGTTGTAAGATTGATGGCGGGGTTTCAAGCGGTTGCAATACGCATGCAAGATGATTGATATTTGTCTCGATTCTCGAATTCCCCCCCTCGCAGCATTTTGAGTGTTCTCTCCTATTCTTTCCATCCAAATCTCTCCCAGCACACAAACCATCCACAAAATGGGCCCTGAGAGGACAAGATATTGCGACTTGTGTCAACAGGACATCAAACCTCGTGGCTACACCACCCACCGCAAGGCTTGCGAGAAGAAAGCCGAAAAACAACGGCAGAATCAACATTTCGTTGATTCTATTCGAAGAGACACAGGTACGCACAATTTCTCGTTGTTTACAACGTC